TGGGGGGGGGGGGGTGGGCGGAAGCCCCTCTGTGAGGGGATACAGTCCTCCTGCAGGCAAGCACCAGCCATGTGTGCGTGGGGAAGGAGTGGGTGGATGAGGGGTGCTTGTGTTGTGCTGAGGGGGGGAAATTGGGGTGCCCGTTCCCCGCCCCAGCCCAGGAAATCCCAATTTCTGCTCCGAGAAGGAAAAGGCTGAGCAGCAGGCAAGCAGCTGCCCCTGAAACGGGGTGTCACATCTCTGCACCGACACCGACCCTGCTCTTCACCCCTGGTCTGGGAGCTCTCTCGGATGTCTCGCAGCCCCGTTGTTGGGTCAATTCCTTCGTTATTTTTTCTAACAGGCAGTGGCGCAGCTTGGATACGGGGCTGCACTCCGGCTCGCGCCCCTCGGCAGCTGGGATTTACTTCTCGGTGCAGCCAAAAAGTACGTGGATGCTTAGAATCGCAGGGGGAAAACCCACCTCTAACACCCACCTTCTCCCTTAAAATGGGCTTCCCCCCCCAACATGTAATTCCTACAGCCAGCCCCGTTTCAGGTCCCCGATTCCCACGGGTGCTCCCGTGAGCGCCGTCCTCCCTGCGGCCCCTTTATCTGCGTCAAAGCACCTTCTAGCCTACGCTTGCAGGGTTGTTTTTGAATCCTGTTGAGCTGGCACCCTTCAAGGCTGCGTACGTCTTACAATCCTTCCCAAAAAGGCTCGATGAAAGGCAAGTGGGACTTGGGGAACCATCGCTGGATCAAATAACGCCCGTTTCAAAGCCCAAAACTGATAGATCCCTGTTGACTTCTCGACCTAAATCACCTTTTTTTAAAATTGTGCTAAACACAGACAAACTTTGGGTGTCACGGCAGGCTCCACGGGCTGAAATCTCACTTTCTACCTCTGTTTTTCATAGAAAATCGGCGCCCAGGCAGAGAGGTGGCCGGTGCGAGCAGGGAAACCCGCTTTTACACAAAATAAGTCTTTATTGAGGATCCTGCCGACGGCTTTGGCAACCTCGCGCACCCTCCTCGCGGCAAGGGAGTTGGGCAAGAGGGTCTCTGCTGTGGCAAGGCAGCTGCCAGCTCGGGGGAAGCCCTGGTTTTGGTGGAGAAGCTGGCATTTCCCCCAGGAAGCGCCGGTCCTTGTATTTTTGGCACACGGACATGCTGCTGGCACGCGCCGCGGGGTCCAGCATCATTTCACCTTGCCCCATCGGTCCTTCCATCCTGCTCTCTGGACCCTCCTGCGGCCAAGAACTGGGGGATGAGTCCTGCTATGAACCAACGCCGTCCATCACCCGGCCTCGGGGCGTGCCCAGATCCTGCCTGATGCCCCCCAGATACTCATCCGTGGCTGCAATGGGAGGAGGGGTCTTCTCCAGTTCGCCACCGCTCACCAGGGTGTCCCCAAGCCCCGGCGTCTCCAAGGGCTCCGCGGCCGTGCCTCCGGGTGCCTCCGGGTGCTCCGGCCCTGCCCGCGTCCCTGCGCTGAAGTTCGGCGGCGGGGATGGCACCGTCGGCCGCTGGCCCCCCTCGGGCGTCCCCCGGGCACTTCGGGGTGACTTTTGCTTTTGTGAGCCGTGACGTTGTCTTTCTTCTCAAACTTCTTGCCGCAGATGTCGCAGGAGAACTGGTAGAAGGAGTCGGCGTCGTGTTTCTTCATGTGCCAGTTCAGGGAGGCTTTCTGGCGGCAGGTGAAGCCGCAGATCTCGCACCTGGGAGAAAACACAACGGGATTCAAGGTAAAAGAATTAAAAAAAGGTATTACGGGAGATTACAGCACGGGGAGAACTGGCCCTGCCTCATGATGCTGCAATTTCACGTGGGCTTAGCAAAGCTGCGTGAGCTCCGTGTGGCTTCAGCACACCCTCCAGGCAAGGAAATGTATTGCCCTCGTTAAGTCCCAGCTTATTAAGCTTCTCCAAATCAAGCCTGCGCCTCGAAGCCGAGCCTGAAGCTGCTGGATCAGAGCGCAGCCAGCCCTGGGGGCAGAAACCTTTCGGCAAAGCAAAAATACGTCTGTCCTCTGTCTATCCACGGCGAGGAACTTGGCTCTTCCCACCCACGCAAGAAGCTAAATTAGGGTTGAAACGCGATGGGGAGAAACCCCGATGCGAAGCAGAGAGTCAGCGGTCGTGCTGATGGGACTGGTACTTACTGCAGGGGTTTCTCCCCTGTGTGGATGCGCCTGTGGATGATCAAGTTGCTGCTGGTACGAAAAGAACGGGCGCAGAACTCGCAGATATAGTCCCGTTTGTCTGTGGGGCAGAAGAAGAAAGGATTAGGGGCTGATCCAGCCTAGAAGAGCAGTCAAGGGGCTTTCAGGATGCATTTTGGGAGGCAGAAATGGAGATGATGAATGAGAGATTCATGGGAGCAGAAAGCAAACGGGCGCGGTAACATCTACCAGGGATGCAAGTGCGAATGGTGAGGACGTGGGTATGGTCAGCTGTAGCCCAGCAGAGGTGGAACTAGCGCAGGAGAGGAGGTATAGGGAGGTATATATCCATATAGAGGGTATGTGCCTGCACCGAGGCGGCCGACTCACCGCTGTGCAGTTTCTCGTGCTCCTTGAGGTGCTTCTTGAAGTTGAAGGACTTGCCGCAGCTGGGCTCCGAGCAGGTGAAGGTCTTCTGGTGGACGTGCTGGTACTTCTTGTGGTGCTGCCGTTTTGGGGAGAAAAAGGGGGAGTAAGAAGAGAGGAGGTCAGCGCTGCGTAGCTGCACTTGGAGGAAGCCCAAGGGCACCTTCCAGTGACAACCTCCCCCTGTGAAACACACTCCCTGAAGCGCGTGGTGGACTTCAAGTGACCTCAGGCACGCCAGGCTGCTGAACACATGGGACCAAGAAGTCCCCCATCTAGTACCCAGCTTCAGAAAGCCACGGATGATTCAGGTTGCCCAATTCCAGCTCTAGGACAACAGCCAAGATACCCAAAACAGAGCCTGGGCGCGCAAAACCTGACCCATCTGGTGGATCACCAAAGCTCCTGGTGGCCCCAGAAGAGACTGGGAGTGGGAGGGATGCTCGTGCCCAGCTCAGCTGCGTCTCCCGGAGCGTGAGAGGTGGATTTAAGCGCAACGGCTGCCCCAAGCCCTCACGTTCAGGTACTGGCGGTTGGAGAAGATCTTGCCGCAGCCTTCGAAGTCG